GGAGGGTGGCGGACATAGGACGACAGACAGTGCACAATGAAAATATAGTGTGAATAAATACATAGATAAATAGATAAAGAACAATTAAAGATGAAGTCGTAATTTGTCAGAACATCTTCGGACCCCTGCTAGAAACTCGTCGGAAATTATTTGAAAAGTTTCAAAAATTTCAAAAAAAAATTCACTTTCATATTACTGAAAGGTATAAACTTCAAACGGTTTACTTGGTACCTCAAGCTGTTGACAGGTCGGTGTTGATTGAATAAACCAGGACATGTAATACCGCTCAGTGAAAGATAACTGTTAGAGTCATAAGGTGGAACAACTGCTATGAAAATGCAGATTACCTCGCTAACTCTTCTCCTGCCCTCTGAACTGAAATCTAAACATTATGCAAGAGGCTAACACCGGATCGCGAAAGAAAGCGGCATATTCCCCTCAGTACCCCTCAGGTCTACGGCGAAAACACATGGTCACTTATTGAGGGGGAGGGGGGTGGGGGAAAGAGATTCAAATTCATTTTTCTTCATATATAATTTAATTTTATTGTGCACCGTCTGCAGTGATGTCCTATAATTACACTGGGTATTGCAGTATAATTTTAGCTCATACTCTGATAACACCACTTGCTTTTAGGGAATTAATTTTTCAAATTAGATTTGTTTGATTCGTGTCTTTGATTGCATCTTTTTATTCCATACGTCCATATTCCTAATTTCTAAATAACATCAAGTGCTTTTGTTCTTCATCTCGATGGCTGTTATATTTTCGTTATATTTTTTTGGCTGAATATTAAGTTACTTAGTAATACCATATATTCCTTTGTTACCACACCGCAAGAAATTATTTTGTAACTATGCACAAGACTTCACTGTGAGCCTGAATTTTTTCAACTTGAACTGTCGCATTATTTTATACGCACCCAAACGACAAGGGAATGGTTTAAGCCAACCTTGTGCAACGCGCCTCGCTAGCTGTTCGCCATCTTCATTTTATGGGTGTGATTTCTTTTGTGTTTTTCGTGTGCGAGTGGGCGTGCGTGTGTGCGTGTGTGTGTGCATGTGTATTTGTGTGTGTGTATGTGTATGCGTGTGTGTGTGTGTATGTGTGTTTGTGTGTGTGTCTATGTTGTTCTTGTCTGTCTGTCTGTTTAAATTGTTTTGTCTTTTTTTAAGTGATTCATGATTGAGTTTTCATATCATTGCAATTCCTTTTCAGAGGCGTCCTCAATAGTTGAAACGACTTCCCCACCGACCTCGAGATGAGTAAGGATAGAATGCAGACCAGAAAGA